CCAATAGCTAGCAATCCAAAACAGTCCAGTGGAGCCTGAGCGGTGGGTGTTGCCTTCTGACATACTTTCGGTGATGTCAGGGTGTGTGGCATATGCAAATAAGTTATGCTAATGAGTTACGCTAATGAGCTCCTGCACCTCTTTTTCTACGAAATGACCCCTGTCAATAGGTATAGACAAAAGTACATGTGTTTATTTCAAAGACACATAAAAACCTTGTAGGGGCCCAAGGAAAGCCTCATAAAGTAATCAAAGTGACAAATGCACAAAAAGAACCCTGAATGCTCCCTCTAAGCTGTTGAGCAAAAATCCTACTTTGTGAGCTACCGGCATTAAAGTTGCGAGCAAGTGGTTTGGCTACTGCATGAATTAGTTTGCTCTGGAGCCATACTTCCTGAGCTGAGACAAAAATGCGTGCGCCGGAGGCTAAAGAACTGTGAGCTAGCTCTCACTAACTCAGCTTAGAGGGAACACTGGCATGCGTTTTGGCCCACAAGAGCCTACTTCAGAGGTCAAATAGCACAGAATACAACCTGCAGCAAAGCTCCTGTTACACTTGTTAAGGCAGTAAACAATCGATATAGGACCGAAAATGGAATGCTGTACAGAGAAATAAAAAAAATATTTAATTAAAATTAAATTACCCAATTGAAAAACCCCATCCCAGAACCACGTCACACCACCCCTTTCCTAAAATCGGGCTCAGTATTACATGTGATGGCACCCCAAGGTCCCTGTTTCAGAGGGTGGCCGTGTTAGTCACCAAGGAGCTTCTGGACTCAGGGTCATTGAGAATTTGTTAAATTGAGAATTTAATTGAGGGTCATTGAGAATGTGTTAAACTTCAGGCTTTCTTTGGTGAGGAAGGGCGTAACCAGGTTTGCATTCTCGCTTGCAGGTAGCAGTATGACGAAATACACTGAGAAACTGGAAGAGATCAAGAGAAGTGAGTACCGTTATGGCAATCGATCTACAATCCATTTGCTGGGGACTGTAGAGTGAGGGGGAGGTCGAGGTGAACCCGTTGTGAGGAACCCAGACCTTGGGGAGAAGAGGCCACATGACCAGGGGCTGTGCCCCGCCCTCAGGTCTGAACACGAAGATCTGACCAAGGTCAACAAGTTCCATTGTGGGTGCTGTGAAGAGCAGGGGTCCCCAACACGGTGCCCGTAAACACCTTTCTGCGTGCCCGCCAAGTGTTTTTATGAACATAGGTGGGGCCAGTTGGGGCTTTTGCTCAGCTAGGCATCTGATTGGCTGTGCTGATTTAAAAAAAAAAAAAAAAAGCTGCGGCTTTGGCAGCAGCTGACACCACAGCACAAGGATCTTCACTGTGTGTCTGAAGGTGAGTTGTGGCAGCCATTTTGTGTCTGTCTCTGCCTCCCGTGGCAGCCATTTTGTGGCTGCAACCACCACACTGTATCAGCCCTACAAAGGTACCTGCGGGCTGGGAACTCCTGGTGTAGAGGTTCCCAGAGGAAGGAGCTGCCTTATTCTCTGAGAGCCAGTCTGGTGTAGTGATTAAGTGCGCGGACTCTAATCTGGGAGAACCGAGTTTGATTCCCCACTCGCACCTCCTGGTGTGACCTTGGGTCAGTCACAAGTTATCTCAGAGCTGTTATCTCAGGAGCAGTCCTCAAGAGAGCTCTCAGCCCCGCCTACCTCACAGAGGGTGTCTGTTGTGGGGAGGGGAAGGGGAAGAGGAAGGAGTTTGTAACCTGCTCTGAGACTCTTTCGGGTAGTGAAGGGCGGGGTATAAATCCAGTCTCCTCCTCCTCCTCCTCCTCCTCCTCCTCCTCCTTTTGTTGGAGTCAATTTTGTTGATAATTTCCCACTAATCTGTGCAACAGTATGGACTAGAAGCTTTCCCCAAAACAAACGCTGGAAGTTCTTGGCTTAATTCATTCTGTGTGCGTGCATACGAAGAAGACCTGATCATCGCGTTCTTTAAAACCGGGTACCATTCAGAAGACGAGGGAAAATTGCTACTCAAAATACAAAAGGGTTTCAGGTGACTTAAAAAAAAAGTGTGGTCCTTCACAACAGCCTTGATTATTTTTTTTGTGGTCAGGTGGAAAGAAACATCCTTTAGTTTCACAACATCCCTTTGTGACTGGATTGCTTTGAGTACTGAAATTCTAGCAGCGTTCTTGTCTGTGTCCCGAACCAGAGGACGCGTTGTGTTTCTGACCTCTTTCTCCGTTGTCCAGAACCAGTCTCCCTTTTGTGCAGCGCTTCTCTTCTGTTTAAATCCCGCCTCCAGGAGCTTAGGTGTGGAAGCATTCGCACTGGGGCCGTACTGAATAGCGTCTCGTATGTCCGAGCCATTTGCAAATCGGCTTGATTTCTCATGGATAGACGACACCGCTCGGAGACCGTGTTAAATGCCGGGGACAGGGTCGCCTCTGTCTCTTGTGTAACTTAAGAGGGGCAGCTGCCTCGAGGCTCGAGCATCAAAACTCAGGAGCCAGCAAACGCAGGGCTCATTTGCCCATGGAGTGGCCCCGGGAGAGAATCACGCCACACTGATTTCCTCCATTCTTCAATGTTGCGTCGTCACTAGCTGAGATTTAGACCCTTCTCAGCAGTCCTACCTTGGTCCGTAATCCAAGATGTCCCAAAACTCAAACGGACCTTCTGAACTGGCTCCAGGTAGGTAGCATGACGGATGCGAGGCAAAAGAGGATTTTGCTATTTCTTCTTGGAAAGCGTGTCTCCGGAGTACCTCTTATAGCTCCCCCCGAGAGTCAGTTTGTTGAGGAAAATGCCTTCGGCTGGCAGATTTTAGACACCATGGAAAGGAGGCACGTGGTAGTTATTGTTGCTTTTATGAGGACCATTGATGTTTGGATGGTTGGGAATTACAATGGGTAGAAATGACAAGGGAATCGATACCGGCTACATATCAGGAGAAGCTTCCTAACTGTAAGGGTGGTTGAGCAGTGGAACGGACTGCCTTGGGGGGGGGGGGGGATGCTCCTTCGCTGGACGTTTTCAAGCGGAGGCTGGACGGCCATCTTTCGGGTATGTTGCCGGGCTATATTTCGGCTCTGCTCCTGCGGAGTGCAGGGGGTTGGGCTAGATGACCTGCAAGGTCCCTTCCAACTCTGACATTCTATGATTGGATCATGTGCTTCTGGATCTGCCGTGTTTGGGGCCAGCTCTGCTAAGAAAGAGTCTGAATAGCAGCACCAGCCTAAACAGAGTGAACATTAGAACATTAAGAGAAGCCCATGTTGGATCAGGCCAGTGGCCCCTCCAGTCCAACACTCTGTGTCACACAGTGGCCAAGACCCACGGGCCATCAGGAGGTCCACCAGCGGGGCCAGAGTTCATGGATTTAGAAGACTGTAACTCCATTTAGGATTACTCTGTCAGTCCCTTTTGAGAGGAAGGGTCGTCTAGTTCCCAGTGGTAATTTGAAGGAAGGAGGTGTCTTGTCGCTTTTCTTACTGGGGTCATACGATGCTCTCCACTTTGCAAGTGTCTTTCTGCAGTTGGCAAGCCATCAGGTGGTGGTTCATGGCTGTCTAGGGTGGGGGCCATGGCTCAGTGGAAGAGCTGCTGCTTGGCATGCAGAAGGTCCCCGATTCAGTCCCCGGCATCTCCAGTTAAAAAGGAACAGGCAGGAGGGGATGGGAAATACCTCAGCCTGAGACCCTGGAGAGCTGTAAAGAGGGGGCATGGCTCAGTGGTAGAGCATCTGCCTGGCATGCAGAAGGTCCCAGGTTCAATCCCCGGCATCTCCAGTTGAAAGGACCAGGCAGGAGGTGATGGGAAAGACCTCATGCCTGAGAACCTGGAGAGCTGTCAAGAGGGGCCATGGCTCAGTGGCAGCAGAGCTGCTGCTTGGCATGCAGAAGGTCCCCAGTTCAGTCCCCGGCATCCCCAGTTAAAAAGGACCAGGCAGGAGGTGATGGAAAAGACCTCCGCCTGAGACCCTGGAGAGCTGTAAAGAGGGGCCGTGGCTCAGTGGTAGAGCATCTGCTTGGCATGCAGAAGGTCCCAGGTTCAATCCCCGGCATCTCTAGTTGAAAGGACCAGGGAGGAGGTGATGGAAAAGACCTCCGCCTGAGACCCTGGAGAGCTGTAAAGAGGGGCCGTGGCTCAGTGGTAGAGCATCTGCTTGGCATGCAGAAGGTCCCAGGTTCAATCCCCGGCATCTCTAGTTGAAAGGACCAGGGAGGAGGTGATGGGAAAGACCTCCACCTGAGACCCTGGAGAGCTGCTGCCAGTCTGAGTAGACAAGATTGACCTTGATGGCCCTGTATAGAACAGCTTCAGGTGAATGAAGCTGATCTCATCAGCGCTTCATTCTTGCGGCCTTTCCTTACCAGCCCAGGGAAATGCTAATTGCCTGGAGAAAAATGGTCTGGAAGCCATTTTTTTCCAGGCCAGTTTGGGTGGAGATCCTGGGGGGTTTCTTGTCATCTTCTGGGCGTGGAACAGAGATCACTGGAGGTGTAGGGGGGGGAGGGAGGTATTTGTGAATTCCCTGCCTTGCGCAGGGGGTTGGACTAGATGACCCTGGAGGTCCCTTCCAACTCTACGATTCCATGATCTGTGAGAGGCTAAGGTGGAGCGACCCCTCCTTCAGGCAGAGGGCGCACTGTGTGACCTTGTGGGCCCCTCCTGACTCCATGAAGGTAGCGACCAGGGGTCATTTCCTGCAGAAGCGCGCAGGAGCAGAGCTCCGGCAGTAAAGATCCCAGGGGGCGGGCACATGCAACAAGTCCCACCCTCTGCTCCATATAAGAACATAAGAGAAGCCCATGTTGGACAAGGCCAATGGCCCCCCAAGACGTACACTTCCATTGACAGTCCCAGAGTTGGCCAAGTCCTCTTCTGATTTAACGGTTAGGTCCGTAGGCATATGACCATCGCAGAAACTTCATTATACCACACTGGTTTTTCGGCGGGGGTTTGGGGTTTTTTTGAAGAAAGGGCAAGTCATAAATTTAATAGGACCAGGAAGGTAGAAGAAGAAGAGATTGGATTTATACCCCGCCCTTCACTACCCAAAGGAGTTTCAGAGCGGCTTACAAACTCCTTCCCCCTCCCCACAACAAACACCCTGTGAGGTAGGTGGGGCGGAGAGACTTCTTGACAGAAACGGCTCTTTTTCAAGGACAGCTCTGGGAGAACTACGGCTTGCCCAAGGTCATCCAGCCAGGTGCAAGTGGAGGAGTGGGGAATCAAACCCGGTGCTCCCAGATTAGAGTCCGCACACTTAACCACGACACCAAACTGGGTAGCCATGTTGGTCTATAGTAGAAGAGCTGGATTCGAGTCCCGTAGCACTTTAGAGACCAATGAAATTCGGGGGGGGGGGGGGGCCTGAGCTTTTGTGAGTCTGAGCTCCCTCAGTCAGATGGTTGGAGTTCTAAGGTGCCCACTGGACTCCAGCCTAGTTCTTCCGTCCGCGTCTCAGGCTGCTATCACGAAGCCCGAGATGAAACGAGGAATAAAGGTGGGCAGCCCAGTTGCAGAATGTAAAGCGACTCAATTAAGATCGTTCCAGAGGGCCACCGTAGAGCGGCTGGATTCCAGTCCGCCAGCACCTTAGAGACCAACGGGATTTTCAAGGTTTGGGCTGTTGAGAGCCCGAGCTCCCTTCGTTGGAGATGTTTAGGGTCTTTGAATCCCAAAAGCTCACATCCCGATAATCGTGTTGGTCTCTGAGATACTACTAAGCCAGTTTGGTGTAGTGGTTGAGAGCGGCGGACTTAATCTGGGAGAACCGGGTTTGAGTTCCCACTCCTCCTCCACATGCAGCTTTTGGAGTGACCTTGGGCCAGTCACAAGTTCTCTCAGAGCTGTCCTCTCATGAGCAGTCCTTGAAAGAGCTCTCTCAGCCCCACCTACATCACAGGCAATGCTCCCTCTAAGCCGTGGAGTCTTGTGAGCAAAAAATCTCTTTTGTGAGCTACTGGCATTAAAGTTGTGAGCGAGCGATTTAACTACTGCATAAATCAGTTTGCCCTGGAGCCCTCCTTCCTGAGCTAAGACAAGCATGTGTGAGCCGGAGGCTAAAAAACTGTGAGCTAGCTCACACTAACTCAGCTTAGAGGGAACACTGCTCACATGTGTCTGTTGTGGGGAGAACCGGGTTTGATTCCCCACTCTTCCACATGCATCTGCTGGTGTGACCTTGGGTTAGTCACAAGTTCTCTCAGAGCTGTTCTCTCAAGTGCAGTTCTCAAGAGAGCTCTCTCAGCCCCACCTCCCTCACAGGGTGCCTGTTGTGGGGAGGGGAAGGGAAAGGAGATTGGAAGCCACTCTGAGACTCCTCTGAGTAGTGAAGGGCGGGGTATAAATCCAATCTCTTCTTCTTTTTCTCCTCCTCCTCCTCTCGAATCGAACTGTTCACCTCTGCAGTTGAAGAACTGGGTTTGCTCACTGCCGGTGCCTTTTTGTTTCCCAGATTACAGATACAAGAAAGATGAGCTCTTCAAGAGGCTGAAAGTGACGACTTTTGCCCAGCTGGTAGGTACAGCTGGTTTCCACACATCTCTCCCGGCCCTCCGGAACAGAGTCTCACCACCAGCATTCGGAGGTTGTGCCTGATGGGTTTTGCGTGGTGGTGTCGAAAGGCTTTTCCGAGCACGGGTGGGCCGTTCTAACTTCCTGCCTTGTAAAATCGCTGACCTGTTGAATCGCCGTCTGCTCCCTCCCTGTTCCATAGCAGCCCGTCCCGCTGCAGGCGCTGCCCCCTCCCGGAGGTTGAGGGCAGGGGGGATCTGGGTTGGAGCTCGGGGCCTACAGTTCCAGATGCAGTTGCGGCATGCAGCAATGCGCAGGGTGGGCGGGGCTTCCGAGGAAAGGGCTGTGCTCCGGCACATGCGCAGAGTGCTTTGGCCTCCCTGTTGAGTGGTCGATCCCCACACACGGGCTCCAGGATGAGGTCTTCCGGGGGGCAAAGAGGGATGGCTTTCAAAGAGTCTCGAGCCCCAGCACTTTTTTGGGTTTTTGGTTTTGTATATTTCATAGGCGCACGCACGCGTGTGTGTGTGCGCACTTGGAGGTCATGGCGACCTCTGGTGACCTATTGGGGGCCCGGAGGATATTCAGAGAGGTGGCTGAATAAAGCCTGCCCCCGCCTCCCGACTCCTGGTATTCTAGGGAGGTCTCCCCTCCAAGTACTTGGCAGAGTCGACCCTGCTGAGCTCCTGGGATCCGACAAGATCGGGCTTACCTGGGCTGCCCAGGTCAGGGCGAGCCCCCGCACTTCTGTATTTGGAAATGAAGCACGGAATCCGTGAAAATTCCCCTTCCCTTCCCGTGTGGCATTTCTGCTTCTTGGATCCCAGCCAGCCCATCCGTCTTGCCGAGCGGCGTCTTCTCTTCTTCTTTCCTCTGCCGACAGGTCATCCAGGTTGCTTCTCTGTCTGACGAAAGCTTAGAAGTCTCACCGGAGGACATTCAGAAGCTAGACGGTAACGGCCTGGGCTCGTATTCAAAATCTGCGGTGTTAAAGGTTCTCGTCAACAAAGGTCCCGCAGTCGCGAAAGGGGCGTGGACCCGAGAAAGCGCCTTATCCCACGTCAGATCAGTGATCCATCTAGTTTGGTATCGGCTACTTGGACTGGTACCAGCTTCTTGGGGGAGAGCTGTCAAGCGGGGCTGTGGCTCAGCAGGAGAGCCTCCGTTTGGCACCCAAACGGTCCCAGGTTCAATCCCCGGCATCTCCAGTTAAAAGAACTATAAGGCAGGAGGTGATGTGAAAAGACCTCTGCCTGAGACCCTGGAGAGCGGCTGCCCGTCTGAGTAGACAACACGGACCCGGATGGTCCAACGGTCTGACCCACTAGAAGGGCGATTTATTTGGGAGTTCCATTCAGGGGAGGGGCCGTGGCTCCATGGTAGAACCCCTGCCTGGCGCGCAGGAAGTCCCAGGTTCAATCCCCAGCATTTCCAGGTAAAGGATCAGAGAGGTCAGGTAAAAGACCCTTTTCTGCCTGAGACCTTGGACAGCTGCTGCCAGTCTGAGTAGACAATACCGACCCTGATGGACTGAGGGTGTGGCTCGGTAGAAGAAAGCTCCACGTGAGAATGTCATTCAGGTGAGGGTCTATGGCTCAGTAACTGAGCCATGTGCTCGGCATGCAGAAGGTCCCCGGTTCAATCCCCCGTGTCTCCAGTTAAGAGGACCGGGAAGTAGGTGATGTGAAGGAACTCAGCCAGAGACCCTGGGGAGCCGCTGCCAGTCAGAGTTGGCAATACTGATCTTGATGGGCCATAAGGCAGCTTCGTGTGTTCTCCTAGATCTGCAATGTGAGAGCTGCTTCTTTTTTTAGAACTCTTATTAAATGGGTTTTTTTTTAAAAAAAATTACAACACAACAACCATATAACGTCAAACAAGTAACAATCAATCAATTATAAACATGTAGAACATTTTAAAACTGGAACATCAGTCATAATATTTCAATTCTTGTAGATGTATATATATATCACTATTATAACTAATACAATGCAAACTTACTATATTTAACAGGAGGAGCCTTAAACTGACTCCCTTCTGTTTCTATATATTGAAAAAAGGGAAACCATTTCTCTAAAAAATTCAAATTCTTTTTAACACAACCGTCCGCAATTAAAAGCTGCATAGCAATTTTATCATTAACTACTACATCCCAAACTTTATTAAACCAATGTTGCAATGTTGGGATTTTAACAGATTTCCAAAGTTGGGCTAATGAAATCTTTGCTGCAAGTAACAAAAGAGTGTTAATGTTTTCTGTTTAGTCATAGATATACCATCCCAACAGTTTATTTATTTATTTTATTCAATTTATACCCCGCCCTCCCCGCAATGCGGGCTCAGGGCGGCTTACACAAGGGGAGACTCTGGAGTATTTAATAAAAGAGACTCTGGAGTATTTGGAATCCGTATGCCAGTTATTTTCTCTATTATCGGCAACACCATATCCCAAAATGGTTGCACTTTTGGGCATGCCCACCTGCCAACCTAGCAGTTCGAAAGCAAGAAATTGCAAGTAGATAAATAGGTACCACTTCGGTGGGAAGGTAACAGCGTTCCGTGCACCTTGGTATTTAGTCATGTTGGCCACATGACCACGGAAACGTCTTCGGACAGCGCTGGCTCTTCGGCTTTGAAACAGATGAGCACCACAACCCTAGAGTCGGACTCGACTGGCTTTCGAGCAAGGGAACCTTTACCTTTCACCTTTTTACCAACAATCTTTATAAGATCCAGTATCATTAGAACATTTCCAACACTGAGGTGAATTAATGGCGTGACTATAATAAAGTCTTTGAGATGTAAAGTAGCACCTGGAAAAAACTTTATAATTTTGAAGTTTAATATTCAGAGATCTTGTGGCGTATAAGGGTAGAGATGATAATGAGAGAGCCTCTTAGCCGGCATTTGCAAATATATTGGAAGATTGTTGCTGCTGCTGTTGCATAGCCTCTTCCCGCCTCGTGTTATCCATTTCCTGTGCACAGAGCGGCACAATTCCTTGTGCAGTCACACCCTCTGGCAAAGTTTAAAAATCTAAAAAGGATGCTCCAGAGCTCTGCGTACTGTTGTGGGTTGCCACGTCACAAGCACCGTCCAGTTGGTGCTGAACACAAAGAGGTGCCGGCCGCACTTCAGAGAATTGGTATCGGAACCATTTGAGCTTTTCATTTGGGGGAAAGAGGATTTTTGGTACAAGGCCAGATGCTCTGGAAAGGCGTCTCTGGTTAACTCCTCTCCACTCTTATTCAGAAGGTGATGCTTCTCCTGTGGACAACAGCGCCGAAGTTGCGGCAGAGACCAACGGCAAAGACAGCCCCGGCGAGAAGCCGGCCAGCCCCATCCTGTTCATCAACAACACCGGAGCTGGCGAGTCCTATCGCTCCACCTTACAGAGGTACCGAACCAACAGCACCTTTCGTTCATTCAAAAAAGATTTTTCCCCTTGACTTCCTGCAAAGACGGGATAACAAAGTTTAAAAGAGTCAATAGGTTGTCGAAGGCTCTCACAGCCGGAGTTCATTAGCTGTTGTAGATTTTTCCAGGCTGTATGGCCGTGGTCTTGGCTTTGCGGGACCTGACGTTTCGCCAGCAGCTGTGACTGGCATCCTCAGAGGTATCACACAGAAAGACGGAGCACTCTCTGTGTCAAGGTGAGACGAAAATGGTAGGCAGGTGTAATTTATATCTACTCAGGAAGGTGGGGTGGGGCTGAGTCATTATCTTGTAGAGTTCCCCAGGCTGTGGACATGCTAAACGCTTTTGAGAAGAAGCGGGGGGGGTGCGTGTGCCCCTTTCCCTCCTGCAAGATTTAAAGGGCCCTCCAGCCGATTGGCGGGCCACGTGCTCCTCACCGATTGGCTGGAGGGCCCTTTAAATCTTACAGGAGGGGAGGGGAGGGGAGGAGCGTGCGCCACCACCCCAGTTCTTCTCAAAAGCATTTAAAGGATCCCTTTAAATGCTTTTGGGAAGAAGGGGGGTTCTTTAAGAAGCAGGGGCCCTTTAAAGAGGAAGAAGAAGAGAAGAAGAGACTGGATGTATACCCCACCCTTCACTACTCAAAGGAGTCTCAGAGCGGCTCACAAACGCCTTTCCCTTCCCCTCCCCACCACAGACACCCTGGAAGGCAGGTGGGGCTGAGAGAGCTCTGACAGAAACAGCTCTTTTTCAAGGACAGCTCTTGTCAGAACTACGGCTTGCCCAAGGTCATCCAGCCAGGTGCAAGTGGAGGAGTGGGGGATCAAACCCTGTTCTCCCAGATTAGAGTCTGCACACTTCACCACTACACCAAACTGGCTCTAAGGAAGGGGGCTGGCCCATCTAGAAAGGGAGCAGAGCCCCCAGTAGCCCCACCGCAGGCTGTGGGGGATAAAAGAGGGAAGCCGCATGAACCGCCCTGAGTTCCTTTGAGGAAAGGAAGGATAACATCGTACGCGCAGATTTTTAGAAACCTGCCCACTTGTACAACCAAAGCCAGTGCTGGCTGATGGCTCTTCTCTCCCGCAGCGTGATAAGCGGCGTGGGTGAGCTGGACCTGGGGAAGAATGCCCTGAAGAAGTTGGAGATGAGTTTGAAGGCCGAACCTTATCCCGACTGCCCCTTCCTGCTGCTGGACGTGCGAGACCGGGACGCGTACGAGCACTGCCACATAATCGGAGGTGAGGGAGGGAGGGCGCCCCGCGCGCACTGCCGCCCTGGTTCTCAAGGCTGCCCTTCTCGTTCCCCGGGTGGTTCGTTTACGGGAATTCGTGACGGCTGCGATATCCGGGGCCCAGACGTTTTTACCCCTACCTGTGAGCGCTCGGATCAGGGAGCTGAATCTCTGTCGACGTGACTTGACTTGGGGACTGACAGGCCGCTCCGGCTTCTGTCGGCTCGCCAGGCCTTGCCTGTGCCCCTTGAGGGCTAGAATGCCGCCGTTTCGAAACGAACGCCGAAGCCTGGAATCTCTTACTGTTCTTCCCTTGTGCGGTTGCCGAAAACACCCCCTTGCTCCTCGTAAGCCACTCCTTTGCTCCTCGGGAGCGGGGACACTCAGTCTCGGGGGGGAGGGAATCCTTTTCTCAGTCACTTCCTTTCTAAGCTGTCTTTGTTTTCTCGTCCCCGCAGCGTACTCCTACCCCATCGCCACGCTGTCCAGAACCATGAACCCGTACACGCACGACATCTTGGAATACGTATCCTTCCACCAGCGGGAAAAGGGCAAAGCACAGTGTCTTGGGCAGTGATGCTCTGTCTTCTTGGTGCTTGGGGGGGTGGGTCCACAGTGGGAGGGCTTTGTCCTGAAGAAAACGAGACTCATTTTCCATTGCTATCCCTGGGAGAGCCAGGGTGGTGTCGTGGTTAAGTGTGTGGACTCTAATCTGGGGGAACCGGGTTTGATTCCCCACTCCTCCACTTGCACCTGGCTGGATGGCCTTGGGCAAGCCCTAGTTCTGATAAGAGCTGTCCTTGAAAAAGAGCAGTTTCTGTCAGAGCTCTCTCAGCCCCACCTGCCTCACAGTGTGTCTGTTGTGGGGAGGGGAAGGGAAAGGAGTCTGTAAGCCGCTCTGAGACTCCTTTGGGTAGTGAAGGGCACTACTTCTTCTTCCTTCTCCCTCTTCTTCCTCCTCCTCTTCTTCTTCCTCCTCTTCTTCCTCTTCTTTCTCCTCCTCCTCCTCTTCTTCCTCTTCCTCCTCCTCCTCTTCCTCTTCTTCTTCCTCCTCCTCCTCCCCCTCTTCTTCTTCTTCTTCTTCGTCCAAGGGGGGGAGAAGAGTCCTGAGTTTGGCTGCTGAACGGGGAGTGGGAATGTTTGCCTGCTTGCTTCGCCTCCTCCACCGCGGGATGCTTGGTCTCGGCGAGGGCTAAAGGAAACCCTCTGATTTTCAGGATAGGACCTCTCGAGCGTCAAAGCTCCCACCAGATATCTGACACAGGGACCTTTAACTCTCGAAGGCTCACCCCCCGAGAATTGTACTGGTCTCCAAGGCGCTAGCGGACTCATTATCTGTGTGTTTTGATATATTTCCTTGTTCTTGATAGAACAAAGTCTTGAGTCCAGGGGCACCTTCACGACCGACAAAGTTTAATTCCGGGGATGCGCTTTCGTGTGCAGGCACATGCCTGCACACGAAAGCCCATCCCCGGAATTAAACTCTGTTGGTCGTGAAGGTGCCGCCGTACTCAGACTCTATTCTGTTGCTTCAGACTGACACGGCGAACCCACCTGGATCGTTCTTGATCGTCTCTGTCAGCAGTCCAATTTCAGACACCTCAGTTGACTCTAGATGTGTCCAGCTCTGCCAGTGGAATGCCGGGTTCAGTATCATCGATTCACATACCTAGATGTGGGGGGGGGGGGGGGGGCCCGGCA